ATTTATAAATTATATTATGTAATACTTTAGGAAATGTGAAGTGGAAACAATAAAAAATAAAAAGCATTAAAAATAATGCATTTTTGCACCGATCAACCGTTATATTAAATGTATTTAGATATAAAATATGCATTTAACAGGAGCATTTTCTTAATTTAGTTCAGATTTTTTAAATTTAGTTTAGAGCAGATTGATGAAATGCCGACGACTTCGTTTCGTCGTAAGAAAACAAAACGAGACAAATTGACAAACAGACTTCTACAACATATGGATAAAATAGAACAGGAAAAATCACGAGAAATGAAAATGGCAGAAATTTTCGGAAAAACTCTCGAATTGATGAATCCGAGACAAAAAGAAATCGCAATTAGTTTAATACATCAATTGATGTGTCATGGGATTAACAATATTCTATCAGAGCATACGACGAAAATGAATTGGCTAAATCATAATTATCAATAAATTATATTTTGCATTTGAGTTGTTCTTATTTAAAATATTACTTTTTACTTATTTTACCCGACAGGACGAAGTCTGTCGGGTCAGCTAATCTTATATATAAAAATGGATCGCAAAATGTGTTGGTAAGCGCATAACTCAACAACGCCTGGACCAATTTGGCCAATTCTTTTTTGAAAATGTTCGTCGATGTCCAAGGATGGTTCTTACGGCGAGAAAAAATCGAATAATCGTCGGAAAACCCTAAAAACAGCCCTTCTCTTTTTCACATACAAACGTAGAATCAATTTGAGCTTTATTGCTATTATATAAAATTCATATTGAATTACAAGCCCTCACTGTATACTCCTCCTAAACGATTATTCGGATTTTGATAAATCTTTCTGAAGTTTGTTAAGGAAATTTTCCAAAATTTTCCAATAATACTCATCAATTTCTATATATTAGTATTTTGCGTAAAAAAGAATTAAAATATAATTTAGCAAAGTGTATGGTCTTTAGATATGTGATAGATACATTTTTATATGAAAAAAATGTTGATTTGAATATATGCGGCACCCACGAATAACAAATTTGATTAGAAAACGTATTACGTTCTATTTGATAGAAAATGATCTCTAAATTTACAAAAAAAAGTTTAGGATCTATTCCTAAAATGAATTGTCGTGACATTTTATCGAGTTTAAAATTTTGACCTTCTGAAAAATTTGCCGCCTCCTAAATTGGGCCGCCCTAGGCCCGGGCCTAGCACTGAGTATATGCCAACATTATTAGATATAATATACATATATAATAAAATAGTATAAACATAATCAGAAGAGTGGCTGACCGCTGAGTTGCCCTCTCGAGAAAAGTGGTAGGCTGAAAGTAGATTCTGTCCGCTTTTTTATTTCAGTGAATAGATCAATCAACGAAACGGTTTCTTCGAGCAATAACATTTGTTTAAACAATCTATATGTTTGGATTAAGGAAAACCAAATACAAGAAAATCAAGCAAATAAATTATTAACAATAATAAATGAACATGTTGATGCTAACTTACCCAATGATGTGCAGAGTATTGCACAAATGATTGAAAAAGATGAAAAACCTCAAATCGCAACTGCTCTTGACTACCATCATCCCTCCTCAACTATTGAGGAGCAATCTGTAGCGAGTAAGTATTAAAATAATAAGTAAGTATTAAAGTAATAAATTATTAAAAGTATTGATAAAAGCTGTATATTCAATAGGAAATAATGAGCCAGCAATTGAAGAGCTTCAATCATTAGCAAGTAAGTATTTTGTTTATCATTATTTTCTTAATAATATCAGAAATTGTACATAAGCCCACAATTTGCTTAGTCTTCTGCTTTTTTGGTAGGTTGGAGAGAAAAACAGAGTTTTGGTACTAAATCAGTACATACGAGTACTATTTTTGCTATGCTATTGTGAGCTTATTGAAAATAGCTCAAAAATGTACTTCTTGCTATATTATAATGTTTAATAAACAATATTTCATTCTAACTTTCTGAAAAAGAATATGTTTTTATCAGCAAATCCTATTTGCTAATTTTGTGTTCTCAACGTTTCAAGTTATTTTGAACAATTTGCCACTAAATTTTTCAATGTCAACGTTTTTATTGTATTAAAAAATTAATCGTGAAGTTCATTTTATCAGCAAAGATAATAAGCCCGAAGATAAGCCCGAAAAGTCATTGAATCACTTGTCGACAATGTTGGAGAAAATTACACTTCATCTTCAAGAAATGATGGAAAATCAAACTGAAATTTGTATGTTTTCAGTTTCAGACGAAGAGGAGCAAATGGGAGTGATACTATTGAAGAGTATAAGCGAAATAGAGGAGTTTGAAAAAAGGTTGAAAAATGAAAAATTTGCTTTGGACCTGGTAAGAAATATATATACATATATATATATATATATATATATATATATATATATATTATATATGTTATATATAACAATATCAATAAAATCTTTTACATAAAAGTTACTCATCTGAAATACCAAAGTCAATTTATACATTCTACTTGGACATTTTTTGAAGTTCATATCCCGATTTCAGCAAAAGTGTGTAAAGTGTCAAACATTTGGTAATATACTTCTAAAGACTTTAAAATTATCTACAAATTTATCTAATAAAATTATTTTAAATCTTATATATCGAAAAAGATATTTACATCAAAACAACTATACACAGATTGTGCATTCAACTTGAACGGTTTCAAGTTTATACCAAAAACTGTAAAAAATAACACAGTTTTATGAAGTCGAAAAATTATAATTTATCATTGAAATAATAATTTATATTATTTATATAATAAATAACAAATATATGCAAATGCACATTAATTAATTAATATATTAATAATTTAGTACGCAATAATATCACAACGTAATTGGAACCACGTACTTCAGAAAATTAAATTTTGTATAGTCTGATTTCAAAATTGATGAAATTGAATAGTCGAATGTACAAAACTGCAATGCAATTTAACCAGATAACTGCAATTGACGGATATACTCGTCACGAAGTTGTGGCAGAATTTTTTGTATTGGCGAGTATAGTCGTCATACGAATAAAACTGTCACAATTTGCTATTTTAATTACATTTATTGAAAAGGGCTAAAAATATTATGAATGTTCATGTCCCTTAGAATATTCTGAGGCTATGACTGTACTAGGCTGCAGTTTTTTTATATATAAATAATTTAAATTATTATTTATAATAATTTATATTTATATAATTTATATATATATATATATATATATATATATATACAGGGTTTAACAACATACATAGAGAAATGTATGCAAAAAATTCCAGAACATAATTTTGAATTTTATTACTTTTATGTTACGAACACATTAACCATTTCAAAAACAAATGTTTTAAAAATTATTCATAAATAATTTTATACAATTATATCTTGAATGAGGTAATTTATATAGAATATATTTTTGAAATTTTGGAAATTTTGCTTTTTATAATTTTTTATATTTTTTTTTATATATACCTTATCATATTTTTATAAAACTATTTTTTCAGGCAATTATCAGTCATAATAAAAACATTTTTTTATAGATGATTAATAATACCAAATACTATGCTTAAAAGAATAATAATAAATAGTAATGAAGAATGTTTTCATTCTATTTGCAATCTTAAAAATACCAAGACAATGAAGACGCTTATGTCAAAATTTTTTTTATTTAGTTCGCTTTCCCGCTACATCAGATTAATACATGGACAGCCAAAACAGTTTTACAGAAATTTTCGATGCACATTTTGCCCAAAGATATTACATACTCCTGTTTCTTTGCAAAAGTACATCAAAACCTTCCATTGCTCAACTCCCAATATTTCTTTACAAGACTCCAATATCCACCGCACATTTTACAATAATTTTAGAATTAATCATGAAACATCTCTTGCACTTCATTCTTATGCTTTGCCTTATTCTCTAATTCCTTCCACAGACATTCTATCAAATGCTCTTCCTTCCTCGCCTATTCCTTCTACATACGCCCACATTCTTAGAAACGACCCCTACAAGACTCACACCAAATAATATTTTATCGCTGCACTCTCGGAAGGTGTTTACAAGTATTGAATAAATGAATTGTTGCTTTTGCAACCAGAAATGCAGTACAAAACTAAAATTAGAACCTATAAATCGAAAGCTAGAAAGGCAGGACCGCCTCCAGGTGGTTAGGGATGGAAACGTCAGTCCACTGACGGCTAAAAGTCCTGCACAACACCCACAAACATAATATTTAAAATTTAAGAAATAATCAATTATCAAGCAGACGCTACATAGCAATGAGTGAAAGCTCGAGCTATATGGAATAAGAGTAAATAATGAATGAACTGCCTGCAGACGTATCCTTGCGCGCTGCTGCCGGTCCTAAGCCCGAGTAAAGGAGGAAGGTTGTGGGGCGAGAACATCTTTGATCCCCACATAAAAGCGGCACATACCGCAAGCTCTAGGTCATGTCACTGGAGAACGGGGTTCTTGGCTTAATCGCCCGGGTCACGAGGAAGGATCCTCTATAAAAAACACCCTCAACACTAAGGTAGGGCGCGCGACGAAGGAGTGAATGGCTGTGAGGAAATACGGTTCTGACCGACCAACTCCGAGGCACCAGCCAACACCTCGACAGTAACAGGCTTGCCCAAGCACTAAGCGCTACCTGGGTCGACTGCTAATCTTCTATACTCGTGGGAACAATAATAAACACCCAAAAATCCAAAATTAAAACGGATAACTCGTTAACCAAAACGGCCGCTGCCCAAAAGGAAGAAGCCAAAAACCAAGGGAAAGTGCTGGAGAAGGGGGATACAACCCCTAAAGAGAAAGTGGCAGAGAAGGGGGACACAACCCCTAAAGAAAGCATAAGCAATCTATACGCGGATAGTTTGAATAAAGTTAAAATTGAAAGAGAGAAACTTGAAAGTTTTCTTTTTAATGAGTCGAACAAAGTGTCCAAAGGCGTAATAAAGTTCATTCTCGAAAAATGGTCAAATTTGGAGCTAATGCTTCAAAAAGAAATTTTAGAGCACGAAAAAACAGAGGCCAAATATAACGAGAAAACTACCAACATGTCATATGCAAATGTGGCATCTAGAGCACCTAATAAACTCCCAACGCAAATAGTGCAACAAAAACCAAAAAGCCAGTACATATACATTAAACCTGAATGTGATCGAACAGACAGTAGATCAAATGATGAAATAAAGGATCACGTAAAAACTGGTCTAAAAGATATTAGTAAGCAGATAAAAATTAGAGGTATACGGCAACTCCAAAATAAAGGAGTTGTCTTAGAAGTTCAAACAAAGAGAGATATAGAAATAATGAAGAAAGCAAATCTGAGTGCGCAAAAATTAGTTGTGGAAGAGCCCAAGAAGCTACAACCACAAATAATTATGTATGATGTAGATTGTAGAAGAAGACTGCCATGAAGAAAAGATAGCAAAGTCGTAAAAATCAAGATAATAGCTGGTTTTACCTTTTTCCTTCTAGTTTCAAAAATTGTCGAAAAAATCTTAACTTTACTAGTTTTGGAGATATCGATCGTATTCTTTTCACCCACGGACCTTTTAGCCCCGCTCTACCCTACATTAATATTTTTTCTCTGTGCATGCATACGTTTACTGTTTATTTCTGCCATATTTAAATAATTTCAACACATATTTTCATACTGTTTTATAATATTTTTAGCCCACAATAAAATGAGTGTAGCAAGTAAGAGAAAAACTCGTCAATATTAGGATGAATAATATTTAAAATTTGGCCGCCGTTCACGATGAGCGGATATCCCTTTTGTCTGTTGTCAGCAGTGCTTGTAGAACGAATCAATGAAACCAGGTCGTCTTGAGGCCCGTTTGAAGGCAAAACATCGTAATCATGTAAATTCAGATTTGAGTTATTTTAAAATTTTAAAGGAAAAGTTCGAAAAAAGAAAAACATTGCCGTCTCTATTTACTGCACTTCTTTAACAAATAATCGTCATCATAAGGCGAATTATCAAATGTCATTATTAATTTGTAAAAGTGGAAAAAACTGCACCATTTGAGAAAATTTGATGAAACCATCAATTTCAGCATTTCTTAAAACAGTTTTAGAAAAAGATGACATAGAAGTGAAAGGCATGCCACTCAGTAATAATACTGTTCGCAGAAGGATAGACGAAATGACTAACGATATTGAAAACCAATTAATCGATAAGTTAAAAACTAGACATTTCTCAATACAAATGGATGAATCGACTTCAAAAGACAGTGAGGCTGTATTGCTGGCATATGTACGATTTATTGATGCAGGACAATTTTCTGAAGAAATGTAATAATAAGTTAAAAAACTATTTAGTATTGAAAAACATATCAATGAAAATCTTGTGCTGCATATGGTGCTCCTAAAATGATGGACAAGAAAAATGGCTGCTTAAAATTGATAAAAGATATAAAACCTGAAATGGTTATTGTGCATTGTGTAATTCATAAGGACACTTAGTTGCTAAAAATATCTCGCCTGTTCTAAATGAGGTATTACATGCAGTTTTAAAATGCATTAATACTATTAATATAAAGCCAGTGCCAAATCTGAACGTTAACTATAGTAGATACACCACTGGGCGTATGTACTAATTTGTAAACAACCAATTGTAAACACTTGTCAGCATTTTCTGCTAAATATTGTTATTTTTATAGATTGCAGAATGAAAATAAAATAAAAAAAAAAAATCTGAACGTCATTTCAGGCTGTTTTGTGAAGAGCAATGAAAGCGATGTGAGACTTTTGCTTAATACGGGAGTAAGATGGTTTTCTAGAGGAAAATGCTTAAACAAATATATGTAACTGTTCGATGTTTTAAGTGAATTTTTCAATGACAAACCTGAAATGAAGATTTCATTAATTTCCGATGATAAAGTTATTTAACAGATATTTTTGAAAAATTGAATATGTTAAATAAACAACTCCAAGGACCAAATAAAACACTTGTCGATGCGAAAGCGAAGATATTTTGTTTCATTACAAATATTGAATTGTATATAAAACAAAAATGTAAAGTAACTCGTGATGCTTTGCTTGTAATTAAAAATCATCCGGATATCTTATCTGTCGATTTGAGGGAGAGATTTGAAACAAATTGATTTCCCAGCATGGATGCTGCTGAATCCAGTATTAGTGGATTTGACTGATGTTTCGAATATGCAGTATCAAGAAAAACTTGCTGAATTTCAAAATCATGAGTCATCAAAAACTTTATTTAATATAAAAGGGGCAATGGAATGGCTTTGTCGAGAAGTTGAAGTCAAATACCCAAATGTGCGAAAGAAAGTTTCTTCTGCCGTTTCCAATTTCATATTTAGTAGAACGTGGATTTAGTGTTTTGAATGATTTATTGATATCAAAAGAATAGACTTGCTATAGCAGAAGGAGGCGAGGCAGAGATTTGAGATTGAAGCTTAGCAAATTAGAACCCAATATAAAATCTTGGTGTAGCAAACATTAAGATCAATTATAGCATTAAATATTTAGAAAAAATCACAAATAAAATAAATTTGAATTTCAGTTTTTTATTACATGTTTCAAAATTTTAACATTTGTGATGTTTTGAAAACGATTAAATTGTAATTGTTTCCTAAAACTTATTTATTATTTTTAAGAAACAAAATGTTAAATGGTTTTAGAAACGTTCAGGTAAGGCATAGCACAAAAAAGGTTGAAAATCACTGCTTTAAATAAAAGCACTGATAAAATAGATTCAGCACAAATTTTATATTTTATTCGTGCTGTCACTAAAGATTTTCAATGTTACAAAGAATTACTAGCTTTGGGGGTACATTATCAGGAAGAACTCGCGGGACCGATAATTTCGAAAACTTCAAAAAAGTATGTAATAAATTATAATTGAATGTAAGTAATTTAATTAGTGTCTGCACTGATGGCGCACCTTCTATGAGAGGCAAAAAAGAATGATTCGTCGCATTGTTAAGAAAAGGAAACAAATTCAAGAAAATTGCTAAAAATCTGCGCACACATACAGACGCTTTTTTTAATTTATAACGTTTATAATTGAGATTGAAATGATTACTCCCTCGTTTCTCACTTACAAACTTTGTCTTTGAGAGAAAATCCGATATTGATGATATTACATGATGATAGTAATGATGATATTGCATTTTCTCTAGTCTCAACTAAAGATGCTGCGAGAATGTTGAGGACGTTCTCTTCAATACATGATATACCTGCGGAGGAGGTGTTGATCTTGTTTACGGGGAGTCATACAAAATCAAGAATAGAGAAAATGACCTTGTAAATAATTTAAATCCAATTCTTTATTGTTCAGGACGTGTACATTTTTCTAATGTGGCACCACGCATTTGGGGCACACAAATAAAGATATAAATATAAAGATAAATGTCTCAAGGTCAAACAAAAAAATCTAGATCTCATATACAAGTATATCTTCCGATCCGAGATCAGCTAACATGATCAAATAATCTCTGCCTGCCATTCTTCACGAATAGTTACTCAATGGAGACATCCCAACATATTTATTTCTTTATTTGCATATAATTATTATTTGTATTTGCTTATCATTGTTTGTATTTTGATTTTGTTTTTTTGTATTGACGTCACACATTAGCTCATAGAATTTGTATATTCTGATTGCTAATTAAAGAAAACCGAAAACGGATGTGGTAGCAAAAGAGTAAAATAGGGTAGGATGTAAAACCTTAATCAACTTTTCAACTTTACTAACCGTAAACTTAATAAAAGGTAGTTATAAATACATTAAATGATTTACTTATAACTTAAACCAATCATGTTTTAAGAGATTGTTTCTGAACAGCAGATGGGTGTGAGTGTGACGTCAATGTGTAAAATTAAAAAAAAAATTTGTCCGCAAATTTTTAATGAATATTTAGTGAATATTAGAATTACTGGTCTATGATATGAAATAATAATTTGCTACAAACATGCTTTACGAGAAGTTTAAAATTCGTCAAATAACAAATTCATTCCGAAATAATTGTTCATTAGACATTTAAAGTGCGTAAGTTTATGTATTTTTTATATTTGAAAAAATCAACATACATATTTAGTAAACAATTTTGTAATTGTGCACTCTAGATGAATTAAATTAAAGTCAATGTAGAAATCAGCTGTATTAAAAAGTACCAGACCAACTTTGCCCTCTTAGACAAGAAAAAATTTGTTGACAATTAACTCAAATTTTTACAAGTTTATTAAGTGAACATTTTTTTATGAATATTGCTTTCAATTCAAAATAATAATCAATTAACAATTCATCAATTGAACATCAATCAAAATAATAATCAATTAACAATCATTAAAAAATTAATCATACTGCTATGAATTAATGGAGTAATAGTATACTTATTATCAGGTATTTGAATTTGAAATATTTTTTTTTGTTAAACTAACTACTAAATTTTTATTATAGGTGCTTGCAGCTATTCATTTTTTTGGTAATGATTCATATGAAACTGATGTAGGCAATTGCTATATGAATTTCCCGAGAATTTCTGTCAGTCGCTTTATTAAAACAGAACTGCTAATTGTAACCACATTTATGCTAAACAACGACAGGAGTAAGTCAAAAACATCTGAAGAGCAAGGCTGGAGAAGTTGGGAAAGGATTCTATTCAAAGCCTCTCGCTATTGATGATGATTTTCAAAACACAAGAAAATATGAACTAGTTTATTATATAGAAGATAATAATGTATCAGTGATAAACTGATCTTTTCGCATTATTCTAAAACGTGAGTCTGAGACCGCAATTCAAACAACTGCTAGAATTTTTGTCACAGCTTTATGTGATACGGCCATTTAAAGAATAGCTGTGAAAAACACCGAAAATCTAATGAAACTCTTACTTAAAACTTCCAAACAGAGCCAGTATTATACGTGATATATTTTCTGATTCAAACTGTATGATTACTACTATCAAAATATGAAGTCAACTATATAATAACCAAATCGTTGTGTTTAAAAAAATAGATCAAAGTGAAAGTTCAGAGTGGTTTTCAGCTCGTCACAAAAACAATTTTAAAACTTTGGACCATGATCTAATCAATCCAAGGTCAATGGCCAATCCAACTAAGGCAATGGAATACGGCATGAAAAATAGAAAAACAAAACAAGAGCCAAATATCCTGTTGATGTGATCCCAATTGGATTGTTAGTGAAGCTATTACAATCCTGGTTATGCACTAGTATAGATTATTTAGTTATTAAAAATAACAAACTAATAAAAATTGTACAAATTAAATGCCATTCAATATGATATCTTTGATGAGGAGATTCGACACTTTAATGTTGGCTACTCAAATATAGATAATCGAAACCATGTTTAAAAAAGAGCAATATTTATTACGCTCCATGCCAAATGCTAATGTATGTGTCTGATATAAATATCTGTAATTTTCATGTTTGGTCACCAAAGGGTAGCAGTAGGTGCTTAATTACTAAATCCAAAGATGAAATCTTCTTAAAAAACTTAATTCCTTTAATAAAATACTTTTATTCCATGTACTATTTAAAATAACTTTTCAACAATAAACAAAATGCTACTAATACAAATGTTTATCAATATAAAATAAAATATTTCTACCAAGGACTAATAATCAAGACCGAAAGATGAAGTTTAGTTGCAATAAGAAATAAGATACAATCAGAAGATAGTTAAGCTCCCACAAAAGATTGCTGTGGCACCAGCAGGTATTTATATAAATGGGAAGGGTCATTACTCTATTAATATTGAAGTAGTAAGTATTATTTAGTTGATTACTTAAGTATTTTGAATGTTGACTCAATAATAAATATCATCAGATATGTAATGCTGATGAAAGGATATCGTTTGCGAGTAGTAGATATCCTGCCGCCACATATGGCGTTGGCATTTTTCAGGTCCTAGTAGTTAGAGCCCTACCGAATTATTTACCTATTTAGTGGGTAATTTATAGATATATTTAATACAGCAAATCAAGAAAGAAAAAACTTATCAGTTGTACATTTACAAGAGTTTCAGGTTACCCATTAGAACATTGTCTACACACCCCACACAGGGCACCGATAAGGTTTGAGTATACTGAGGAGCAATACAATGAATTGCACAAAAAGGCTAGGAATGTTATTGAACGAACATTTGTAACTTTATTTAGTTGCAAAATTTATATATGATACATATCAGTTTCTAAAATGCTACTGTTTTAGTTGATATTGTAAGTATTTAATTGTAGTGTTCTAGATTGATATGAAAAACATAAAGGTACTTACGTTAAGAATCTGTTACCCAAATCACCTTGTACGGCCATACAGCCAAAGCATTCCCATAACCTTTCATCATATACATGTTTCTTTATTGACATCTGAAATTATAAAACATTATAATATTTGATATATACAAATGTAAATATGAAAATCATATGAAAAGAAAGAAAACCTGAAATGCCCATATAAAAAATTGTTAAAATATAACTACCATGTGGATTGAAACAATATCGATAAAGAATAAAGCGAGTACGTACTCAATAATCTGATAAATAATACGGACATTTAGACATGCAGTTTAAACTTAAATCGATAAGCAATAAGCAAAAAGCAAGAACGTTACTAACAAATATTTCGCAAATAAAATCAAAGAAATTGCAGAATAGAAGGCTGTCAAATGTTATTTCTTCACAGATTGAATCAATAACCGAAACTATGACACACCAAAATACTAACCGAAAGCCTGCAAATAATTTTATCGCCAATTCAGATAAATATTTGTACACTAGAGCACTCAATTTAAACAAAATCAAATTAACATTACAAAAACCCATGGTTGCAAATTCTGCGATGTGAATCACCACACGACATAGATTACAAAGCAAGCAAACGGAGAGCGGAGTAAGTTGTAAGGGTGCCGGCACACCTTACCATGCTGTTCATACAGCACCCATGTGGCTCCAGCCGCAAACTAATCTAAGATTTTGTCAAATGCAACTTTAATGATTGATTATATAGCAAAATAACTATTTTAAATGCGGAGATAATAAAGAAGAATATCTCGTAAATGAATTTTAATCGTAGGAAATTAGTTTTCTCTCATTTTTGATATCAATATATATATTTTATGTTTTTAGGATTATTTTGTTTGCAAAGTATTTGTTCTTTTTGAAAGTTATCTGTAATTTTATCCTTTTAAATTTTTGTATTACTTTTCATTCCTGCTAAATTTGTCATTCCATCGTCAATACTTTTGCGCATTTCTCTTATTAGTTTTTAAGTTTTTAATATCAACGAAGTAATGAAATCGAACAGTCACAGATAACCGTTGCCCTTATCACATTTGTTAATGATTTTAAAGGCATGTTCAAACAACTAATAGAACAAAATAAGTTAGACATGAACATGTTAACCAAATTAGTTAAAAATGAATGGCCAAGTTTCTTCGAATTGCTCAATGGAATGCAAATTGTGTTCTAAATCATAAAAATGAATTAATATTATTTTTACAACACATGATTGATGTGATGCTAATCAGTGAAAATCATTTAACAAATAATCTACATTTCAAGATTCCTTTCTATTATTTCTATAAGACTAATCACCGAGACAATACTGCACACGCTGGATCTGGAATATTGATTAAAAACAGTATTTCACATTACACACTAACAAATTTTCAAGAAAATTACGTACGAGCAATTACAATATGTATTAATACATTTCCTTAAGATATCATTGTCTATTCTGCATATTGTCCGCCACGTCACACGATGAAAACAGATGATTATGAAAAATTCTTTGATATATCAGGACACAGATTTATAGTGAGTGGTGATTTTAACAGTAAAAATACCTTATGGGGCTCTAGACTCACCACCCCCAGAGGTAAGCAGTTGGCACAAATTCTGTTAAATAAAAATTATTCATTCTTATCGACTGGAAAACCAACTTATTGGCCTACTAGTGCAGTAAACGGAGAGGAAAAAAGGGTATAACCTCTGAACTTTTTTACTGTGTTCCGAATTGAATGAAATTTTGGAATTAGGTTCATCCTACCCTCAAGTTCAAAAGTGAAAACAATTCGGGTTGCGCCATCACTCCCCCCCCCGGGGAGATAACACCCCTTCTCAATTGTGTAATTACATTTTTTCAAAATAACGTAGTAAATCGATAGAAGAACTAATTATAAGAAAATTTTTCAAAAAAACTAATACTTTTCAAGTTACTGGCCACTAAAGATTCATATATTTTTGGCGTTTTTCTTCGTTTTTTTGCAAATATCTCCTAAAATATACATTCTAACGAAAATCATGTAATGAACAAAATAATGTCAATAAAAATCTTAATAAATTGTATTACATAAAGTGTTCTAGGAAAAATAGTAAGCAAGATTTTAAAGAGCAAAGTCGTTTTTTATTTCGTTCAAGATTTAATTGTTGTATTTAAAGCCATCTAGTGTCGAGGTTTTACATTTTATGCATTTCGGTGAAATTGGGTTTTATAGTGCTCAACATAAGCTTTAAAATGAGTGCTGTTTTAAAGTTTTTTGCGTGTAAAATGAGTGAGCTATCATGCAAATAAGAAGCATATACGAATTTTTTTTCTTTTAAATCATATGGTTTAATGAGCGCCATTTCCACCAGAATTAAAGTAATTCACATTCCATCTAGAATTCACTTCATTATAGACATCTTGATGGATTCTAGCAGATTCACTAATTTAGTACAAACTATTTTCAAAAAACTCACGATTTTATAAAAAAAAAATTCTCGGGGGTGATGGCGCAACCCGAATTGTTTTCACTTTTGAACTTGAGGGTAAGATGAATCTAATTCCAAAATTTCATGAAATTCGGAGCGCAGTAAAAAAAATTCAGATGTTATACCCTTTTTTCCTCTCCGTTTACTGCCCCTTCAACACATGTGCCGAATTCGTCATTGATATGGTCCCTGATTTTTTTCCACATCTCCTTTTTGGTCCGTACATTTATCGAACGTAATTGGGGTTCGTAAACTTTATAATAATGTATTCAGGATTTAGTTCGTTCTGAGGTCCAGACCTTATCTTGCGGATCATGTTGTCGTTAATCTTTCAGAAGCAAAAATTCTTCCAATTAAAAATGTTTCGTTTCGAGCACTGTTTGTTGATCATCATTGTTACTCTAATGATGGGACTGTTTAATATTTAGTTCTATGTGGTTTTTGAAGTCTGTACAATACGGTTTGATCTTAGAAATTTACTGTCTCATGAAAAAAGATAAGATCAGTCATTTGTCGTTTGCTTAGATCATTGGCCCCGGATTTCTGTAAGATTTTTTCGTTTCCTTTCCTTTTAATGATTGTGCTCAGTAGAGTCCTTTTTTTGCCCACTTTTCTCACGACTTCTTCATTTGCTAGAATATCTGTTCACTTTATTTTCTCCATTAGTCTCCAGTACTACATTTCAAAACTCTCCAGATAGATTTTGTCGGGCTTTCTTAGAGTCCACGTCTCTGATCCGTACAGAATTTCTATAAATTTTTCCCATTTCATATTTTACCATCAAATACTATTTACATTTCATTCCTAAACATTACATGTAGCCATTTTCTATTCTATTTACAGAAAAAATGAATAACAATAATCGTCAAGACTTTTGATAGGAGATGCTCAAGATAATCTCCAATAATTTTCTTAATCGATAAGAGTCTTCATAAAACTGTTTTTTGCATATGTATCAAAAATGATGAAACGCAAAAGAGTAGTTCTGTCTATGAAAGACAAATACGATATCATTAGGCGTTTAGATGAATGAGAACCTGCAATCAAACTAGCCATAGAATACGGAGTTGGAAAATCTACCATAAGTTATATACGAAAACAAAAATCCGATATTATTGAATTTATATCCAAAATAGACTCTGCCGATGGAGTTAAGGAACGTAAAACCATGAGACTGGCTGAAAATAAAGTTGCCGATGAAGCCATTTATAGATGGATTATTATAGAAAAAAGATCCCAAGGTGAACAGATCAATGGACCAATTCTATGCGAAAAGGCTATGGAGCTCAACCAACAATATGGAGGACCACCTAATTTTCAGGCCAGTACAGGATGGCTAAAAAGATTTAAATCCAGGCATGGTATTCGTGATCTGCAAAACGAAGGAGAAAAGTTCTTAACTGATCTCAAGCCAGATGATGGTGACTCAACATTGCTTATCACAGAAGATAAAGTTATTGTAGAGTTGGTAACTGTTAAAGAAGAAAACGAAAATAAAGAAGTTAAAAAAGAAATTATTCCTTCAGCTGAGCAAGCATATGAAAGTTTGGACATTGCATTACGCTGGTTTGAAGATCAAGCAGAGAGTGATCAGTTTCAAATTTCTGTTCTTAAAAATATTCTCGATCTTGCTGCTAGCAAGAAAAACAATGAAAGTTTAAACATTTTTTAAAAGAAAAGTTAGTATTTTGAAGATATAAATCAATTAAAATAACACTAAGTGCTAGTTACTGATGACTAAAAACAATGAGAGGCTGTTATCTTCTCTATTATATGATATATATATATGTTTTGTCGTCGGAGAGGCGATATCCGAGTGGAAAGGGTTAAATAGTCGATATTAGATAGTTATATTGAAATATTTTATGTCAGTGGTATGTAAATATGTAAATACAAAAAATTAGTTTATTTTTCACACGAATGAAACATATGCAAAATATTCATGAACTTGCACTTATAATTAATTAATTAGTTATAGCTTTAATTAATTAAATTTAGTAGTAATTAAAGTAGTATTTCCAGAGTACATATCAGTTATTGTGTTATAATTTTCAAATTAAATAAATGAAATAATCATGAATATTTATTATGATTTGATATGAGTTTTATGTTATACAGCGGGGCTTCTTAAACTTTTCATTCGCGACCACATTTATGATTGCGATTTCTTGACGACTCCACGTAAATATAAAAGAAAAAGAAATTTATATTTTTAGGTAACTTATTTATTAGGTATACGAAGATCTAGACGTAATGTTTTAGAATGATACGATTATATTTAACTTTAAGATCTCTCGCAACCCCAGAATTTTTCTACGCGACCCCAGATGGAGACTCATAGTTTAAGAAGCTCTGTTATACAGTATAGGTATATAACAAAACAATATACATATTAGCATATTGCCTTATTTAAAATCAATTAAATAAGGCAATATGGTTGCATTTTACATATAAAATAATATCACAGGCAGAATCTGAGAAATCTCGATTGTATGAAAAGACATTATTACTTTTCTTAGTCTTACAAGTATGTTTGTATGTTTTTGTTGAACTTGTTAGTATATTTTAATAATTTTCACAAACTAGTGAAACTTCAAAAACTAATAAAATCTTCACACCTAATTAAATCGCTTGATCCATTTTCTCGAAAACGCGCACAAAGTTTTAATCTAAACTTTCTAACTTCGAAGTTCGAATTTTATTCGAAGTTGCATAGATATATTCTACACACATGCATATACATAAATATTGTTTCTAATTTTTGCCAAATTATCAGCAAAAAACATTTTTGCCGTTTTGCGATACACCTTACTGTACGAAAACACTTTTTAGATAATAATTTAATTTCTTAGTTTTAAACTCAATGTTTGCATATATCACTAAAAACCTACCTATATATATATATATATATATATATATATATATATATATATATATTAAGATTCATAAATTGAACACAGGTCTATATAAAAATTCTAGATTTTCCTTGTTAATATAATGTATATTAAAAACAATTAAATCATATAAAGTACGTTAAATAATTTAACTCAAATTAGTTATATATTAAAGAAATTATCATCAAATTTGAGAAAAAAAAATAGGTTAGAAATTTTTT